CAGAGGAGCCCAAATCCAGGCTCCTCTTTTTTTTCGAGGGGGGGGGGGGGGGGGTATAAATTGGTTTCTAAGGGGCTAAAGAGGTTTAATGTGGGGTGCCTTAGTCTGATTCTGTTGTGTTCTTTGAGGAATTCTGATGTGCCCTCAGTCAAAATTCGTTTGCATTGCAATTCTACACAACACATTTTTTCCTGGAATTTTTTGAGTGTTCCCTTTTTTTCCCTTTTTTTTCCCTTTTTTTTTCCTTTTTTCCCCCTTTTTTTCCTTTTTTTTTCCCTTTTTTTTTCCTTTTTTTTTCCTTTTTTTTTCCTTTTTTTTTCCTTTTTTTTTCCTTTTTTTTCCCTTTTTTTCCCCTTTTTTCCCCCTTTTTTTCCCCTTTTTTTCCCCTTTTTTTTCCCTTTTTTTTTTGCGCTGGGGCTGCCCGGACGGGCACCCGGGCGTGTATCCGGGCACAAGTTCAGTGCCCGGGTGTTTCGTGAAAATTTGAATTCGCGGTTTGAAATTCAAGTTGGGTGCGTAACAGAGTGCAGTGGATGTGAATTGGTGACTAGATTCAGTGCACTCTCCATTCTCATGCTGTGACTGTCTTCCGGGACAATTTCCTCTCTTCTCTCATCTGTGCTCTCTCTCTCTCTCTCTCTCTCTCTCTCTCTCTCTCTCTCTCTCTCTCTCTCTCTCTCTCTCTCTCTGTGTACATCACTTGCTTTTACCTTCTTCACGAATGGCTTATTTTTACATGGCTTCTTTCTGTCAATGGATGAATGGATTTGCTTCTTGAATGGCTTCTTGCATTCCTTCTGGAATGCATTGGCTGCTTGGTCGTCGATTGCATTAATGCGAAATGACACTGAATGTAGTCATATTGAATGATTGAACTGAATGTGGAAATTCGAAGTGTAATGATTTGATCTTGATTAGTCCTGTGTGCATCCTCTCGACGTCGAGCGTTAACTAGTGTCATCTGTGTGTGTGTGTGTGTGTGTGTGTGTGTGTGTGTGTGTGTGGGTTGCAATGGGCAACCTCGTGCCCAGTGCAGCACAGAGAGTAGTACTCTTGCAGGCTCAGTCTGAGGGCCTCGCCACACCAGTCTCGAAATGTGAAAAAGACAAAAATGTGGCACGTGCATCTGGCCATGTTCTAGCTGGAAGTTCATTACCATTTTACACATTTAGAGAGTGGTGTGGCGATGCCCTGAATCAGAGTCGCCGCTGCCAAAGATTTTGGATGGCGATTGATCGAGTCCCGGGACAGAACAACTGAGTCGTCGCAACTGTTTAAATGGGACCGTGGACCCTCTTTCCAGCAGGTGCGGTTCCCCACCAATAGTCTAAGAGAATGGAGCAACCGGAACGCGTACTGAGGGAGGCTGCTCGTACCACCCCCTCCTAGCGACGCTGTTCTGGGTTAAAAAAAAAAAAAAAAAGAAAAAAAAAAAAAAGAGTCCCAGGACAAAACCAGAACCCACCGGGACCCGCTCAAGGGTTTGACCACACACTCGGGTCTAATTCAAGGGGTAATATGAAAAATGCTAAGCCTCGGGTCTAATCAAAGGGGGTCGAAAAATGCCAAGCCTTGGGTCTAAACAAATGGGGTCGAAAGCGTTGCTCCCCGCCACATCATCAGCGGATGCTAGCAGAGGCTGCTCATATCACCCCCGCTACTTAGCACTCCAGGAAGACGTTTCACAAAAAAAAAATAAAAAAAATGTCGTAGGCGTTCAAGACATAAAGAGAAGTGTGCACGCAGGACATAAATTTCAAAAAGAATGATCAAAAGATTGAAAATGTGTTCTTGGGATGACGATGACGATGAGGATCTATCCATGTGACTATGCAGAGGCTTGCTATCGTGGACATGCAGAAGATGCGTGTGGCTGTTCTGCGGAAGACTCGCAGCACCCTCATAGTCCCCAGAGTAGTCTGAGTAGATGAAGTAGATGATGGGGCTTAAACTGCTAGTACATGGCCCCAGCCTTGTGGAGACTTGCTCGTCACCTACTCCGAAAAAGTAGGAGTCGATGCGCCATCGAAAAAAATTATCGGCGCCCGGCGTCACGTTTTGGCCTCTGGAACGGCCCTGCGGCCGATTTATGGCATGTGCTGGTGGTTTATGTGTGTGTGTGTGTGATACCAAAAAAAAAAAAAAAAAAAAAAACCGAAACTGCAGGATCATTAAATCAGCGAGGGAAAATTTTCAAGCTTTCAAGGCGGTAGATGTAAAGCCAATAAAATTTCGGTCAAGGCCCAAAAGTGTGCGTTTGTGGTTCCCTTCACTGGGTCAAAAACCAATCATCAGAATGCTCCCCTTCTCAGACGGCTCCCTCCGCCAGGCATACCCCACCCTCCACCATGCCCACTCTATCCTCCCCTCTCCCCCCCCTCCCCTCCACCATGAGCAGGCCGTCCACCCCACCCTCCTCCTACCCCCACCATGCCCACCCCCTGGCCAGTCTGAGCATGGAAGCTCAAGGCACAAAATGCAGAACACGCAGACGACAACAGCCTCCCCGTGGCAGGTGGGTCAAGCAAACTCCTAGACAGAGGTCCAAGGAAGGGACCGTGCCAAACAAGTACTGGGACAATCAGGCAGGGAG